TTTCCCTAATATTTTTAGGAAACTGATAATCATGTCTCATACATTAATGCAATTATTAACAGTTTCAAGAGTGTAATCATCAACGTCTCCTCTTATCACAGACTATACAGTTAAACACGGAGGCTTCTGCTGAATATTACAAAGAAAATGAGCTGCACCTGCTGACGGGTAGGATTCCTACTGAAGTTGTAATGCTTTCAAAAAAAAAAAAAAAAAATCAAGTATTTGCCAACTGAAGCTTTTCCTCAGTTTTCATAGTTACCACAGAGGGGTAACTGTGGAGACTGAACTTTTTTGTGAATAATTTGGAAATGCTGACTTAGAAAAGTGCTATGCATTGTAGCTCAGGGTTCAACACGTGCAAACACCCACATGCTGACATCATGGTTCCTATTTCTGAGACAAAAATAAGCTCTTCCATAATAATTTATTTCCTTTTAAATTGTTCATCTGCCTTAAGCATTGTCCCAAACCGGGATAAATTTGCTTAAATGAAGCAAGCTATCCATGAACAATGTATTGCCTGTCTGTGAGCAGAGACCTCTGAGTGCAGGTCCCAGCTCCTACCAAAAGCACAGCTTGTTCCAGCTATTCCTACAGAACCACAGCAGCCCCCAAAACGCCCTGCACAAGACCCCTGGGGCAGGGGGGAGCCCCTTGGACAGGTCCCCATCCAACCGATCCTGCTGGGATCACAGGTGGGTGGGTCTCCTCCTGCTCTGACGGAGGAAGAGATCTGCTCTGGAACCCTTACACCCACAGTTTGGAGGATCACACAACCCACGCCAATAAAGTTATGGGCATACGTAACCCTAAGTCTAACACAATTTAAATGCAGCTGTAAAACTAGTTCATTGCTTATTTTGGGCACAGCAGAGGAAAGGTGTTGGAAACGAAGCTGTCAGTCTGTGCAGAGGAGCTGTAGGGGATGGAGAGAGAAAAGGAAAAAGGCAGGGAGATACAGATGAGAAGGGGGGAATAGAAGTGGGGGGAAAAAGAAATAATAATCTGGAATAACGGGCACATGGCTTCACAGCCCATGCATGCCACACCGTTTGGCTCGCTCTATGCAGAAAATTTCACAGGTGAAGGCATCTTTACGTGCAGTTAACCCCAAGCAGTTGCTGAATATCCCTTTTCGTGCACAAGCCAGATGTGAGCGCCATCCCTGTCATTCCAGTAGTCAACATTTTTGCACTGCATTTTTTCTGAAGACGCAATGCAAATATTTAGTGTACAATAACTAGCTTTCCTGATGGCTGTCATGGGGCATCTTCTATGCCTGAAGAAGACCATAGAGATCGTTTATTTACAGCCATGCACATGGAAAGAGTTTCTCGGTGACAGCAGATGGAGTAATGAAGCTGGCAAGAACAAATTCTAAATCACTAAATTATAAATTAACAAGAAGACTTAAGGAGTAAATATTTAGAAGAGCTCACTGAAGCCTTATGGATACGAGCATCATGACCAATTATCCCAGTCATCACTTAAACTCGGAGTTAGGAAAGATTAGAAATAACAGAAAAATAAATGTCACCAATTACATGCATAAATGCAGATTAATTCCACATAAGTATCTACCATATAAATATTCAATGCAATTATTAAAGCGTTAATGAAATCGTCACAGACGATTGGATTTTCATTTTTAAATAACGAGCTGGAGAAATGTAAATCTGCACATTTTTTTCTTTAACTGCATAATTTAGGAGTCAAAGGTGATTTGCTCAGAGTGTAGAAAGTATCACTGAAGTTGAAGGGGAGGACAACTGATTAAGGAATTGGAAACAGCATTAGAAAACGAAATTGAATGAGCAAATTCATTATGTCCAAATGACAGAAAAAGTTCTTAAAAACAAACAAGACAAAAAAAATAAACAAATGGAAAAGGAAATAAGCATTGGGAAACTAAACAAACAATGAAACCATTACTTCAGTGTAGAGGAATTATTTTCATTTTCATCATGTACTCAGATTTCACTTTGCACCTCTGAAACTGCTGTCAGTTATTCATAACAGAATAAGGAATTGTTTATAACATGTTGTAGACACACAAAGGAATTAATTAATTAATGCAAAAGGATTATTTAAGATAATTTCCATGCTTACATAATTTCTCATCATTTGTTTCAAAAAGGAACTTCTACCACATCTTAATTGTTGTTATTCAGGACAGCAGAATTGCTGGAGGGCACAGCCAGAGATGAAGAGCGGGCAATTAACTCAAAAAGCAAAAACCACAGCAGAAACTCTAGCCAAAATCTCAGCCCTCTGAGCCTCCTTCTGATGGCGGAGAACAAAGATGGTGGCAGATAGAAATCTCACCGCACAGGCTTCATTCAGCTAACGAGCAGACAGAATACAGGCCGTCTGGCAACTTGAAATCTCAACACAGGTAAGAGGTAAGCCCGCTCCAGATAGCGGTTAGAGGCAGCTCCTGGAGACAGATGCCCCTTCCACCTCCTACTTCCACTTGTTAATATCAAGAACAAAAATTCGGGGAATTTGGATTACATCCATCACTGACATATAATTGCAGGTCACTGTACCATGTCTCAGATGTAATATAAGGCTAATAAATGCTTATTTTGTAGCGCTTGTAGAGGGACTTGAGTAGCAAGTCTGTTTAAAACTACTGTGTTCTAGATCTGTAAACCAACAGTGACCTAGACTGGAAGAGCTGCAATGCCCATGTGGCTGTCGTAACACACAGTTTTGCCTTTACATTCCCATACCAGATTACATATCTACTTTCTTAGCAGGAAGGAAGGCAGGCAAATGCCTCTGCCATTCAACAGTGCAGATGTAGGGTATTTTTGAAACACTGGCTATTTCGAAATTACCCTAAGTTGTGAAATGTTGCAATATACCATACCGTTTTCTTTTGAAGTTATCTGTTATGTGCATAGTGCGAATCACCATAGTCACGTATGCGGCTGACTAACTTCACAGCACACAGAGCAGTTTTCTCATTCTAGCTTTCATACGGATTCTTAAATGAAGAGCGCGCTAATTTCAAAGACGAACGGTTTATCATTTTCAACCCATTCTCTCCTTGCCTCCCCCTCTTGCGAGGGTCATTGCAATTAATCGAGAGATCTGCCACTGTTTTATTTGATTAATTTGAGCTGCATTGTCAATGAGGAAAACTCTATCAACAGCTTGCAGCTAACCAGTGAGGATAGCAGGGACCATCTTGTTAACCAAAGACCACACAGTAGCCCAAAAGATCTTTATCCTAGAAACTAAATACTTCAAAAGTTCCTCACACTGGCAGGCTCCTGGGGTGAAGGGGAAGAAGTTTCTAATAACCACTTTCCTTGGGTGACAAGTTCATTTTCATGCAAGTTCATTTTCATGCAATATTTAAAGAAACGAGGGTTTCCCGCGCAGCTGTTACAGTGTCCTCAGAGACACCGTATTTAGGCACTCTCTACAATCGTCCCTCTGAATTCTCATCCACAACAGCCACAGGCAGGTTAAATAGCTGGGACTTTACAGGCTCCTAGTCATGTCAGTAACAGCACTCATAAGCTGAGTGGGTTTTTTTTTCCAAGTGTTTTTTTTCCCCCCTCATTGTCAATATGACATATAAATACAAAACAGCTAAGAACCTGGCACTCTTCTCTTTAAAAATCCACTGATGATTAAAAAGTATCCCCACATTTCGCTAATCACATTTAAACAACATAATCTTATAAAGCACTGGACTAATTTTAGACCTAAAACAAATACTGATGAGATCTGTGGTTATTCCCGTTACCTGTCAGAGGCCATGATCTCCATGGCATTCATAACGCTTTCCTGTTCGCTAACTTAGGCAACTTGCCCTCTTGTGAAACGTACTAAAACACTGGATAAAAGACAGAGCTTGCAAAATATTTCATGAGCTATAAAGAGAAGGCCATCAGCCAGAAATTTTAAGTCTTACTCCTTTCAGAAAAACAATGAATTTAAGACTGGTGGTCTACAAACCTGGCCATCTGCTTATACGCTTCTTCAGCCACCGCAAAGATATGTGGATCCATATCCCCCATATTTTGGCCACTGTACGCATTGATGATATCTTCGCCATAGATAGGCAGTTGTTCATAAGGATTTATGGCCACTAAGACGATACCTACAAAGGAAATGAGACAAAAGGAATTTATTAATAATTGTTTCAAAATAAAACAAAGAAAAAAATGGCTTTAACACCAACTGTTGTTCTAACCTTTCTAAATATAGTAACTAGAGAATAATAAGGATCTGACATTACCGACTTTGACAGATATTTATTCTGACCACCGTTTTGTGTTAAAAAGTGTCAGAAGAGTTTATTTCTGTCCTGCTTTAGGAAACACATCAGGGACAACTTCTTACTTTTTCTATCTGCCTTTTCTAAAGCTAGCGCACACAAAATGACCAGATTCAGAGCGTGCCGACTTGAAATACAGCCTGCTCGGTGCAGTAAACCACGGAATGTGCATTGTACCTCCCTGCGGTTTACTGTGAATTACAAACGATAATGTGATTTGTGAATTATAACTGCTGCATGGCCTCGCTGACTGTCAGTCTGGATATGCGACGTGTGTTAAACCTTCAGCTGATATGCTGTGCCCAGGAATAACATCTTCAGGCTTTGTAACAAGCAACCAAGTAGAGTCATGGTGTCATCTGGATGCCAGGGCATCTCTACCAGTCAGGCAGGACAACCTCCTGCTCAAAGGGGTCAAAACCAAAGGCATGTAGACATATTTTATGGGGCCGATACACAGTCATGTCAGGAAATTAAGTAATTGCAACTCTAAAAAGCACCGTAAAGCCCTCATCGTATACATTTGCATATATAACTACTTACAATTTCCATTTTCTAGTTTTTCCATCCCAATAAAACACATATGTGCCTTTTTTAATCCCACTCATTACTACAGCATTTCTAAACTCATGCCATCCTTTTACTCTCCCCACACAGGAAAACTTAGCCTCACGCCATACATCCCTCCTAGCCACAAAGCGAGATCTCAAATGCTTCTGGTACCATTTTCTTTTTCATGAGAAACAAGGACTGCTCTGCCCACCGGGATGATTTGGCAAAGACTGCTTATACCTGCCTCTCCTGCAGCATGTACGATGGGTAGGGAACACTTATCTGCCCCATGCAGGGGTGAAAACACTGATCACTGCCGCATGTGACCCAGCCGTGTTGGGCAAACAGTGCTCTCCTGACATGGCAATTCCTCCTTGCCTTGCCAATGTGGTATGGGGGGAGAGGGAGGAGGGAAGAAAAGAAACTCTAATTTTAACTGTGGCCATTTTAAAAAATATAATTTCTTCTTACTTATAGATTTCAGTGCCTAAAAGCGACAGTGCAGGTGCAGATGGCTGCAGGGTGACCACAGCAAGCATGCTCCACGGGCTCCTTGGGCAAACCATCCCTGAAGAACCTGCACCAGAAGCATTTCTATAGCACTCAACTGGCTTCTAAATCTACTCAAAAATTCACATGCACACACATCTCCTCAGTGCAGACCCCAGCTCTGCTCCACCCAGATTACAGCGTTGTGATGTCTATCCAGGAAATTTTCCACAGAAAAGCTGGGAGAAGAGAAGTGAAAGCATCTATGGCCTGGCACTGCTGATGGGGGCATCATCCCGTTTTTTCAATCCTGTCATGCATTTATAGATCAAGTGCAAACCATAGCAAAAACATTAAACAAAAGAACATGTTTCACGAAGAGATCTGAGAAACTTCAGTCTATTTCCTCGAATAGATGGCAGGATTTACGGCCAGACACACCCATGTAAGGCGAGTCGGTGTTTTTCCATCAGCCATGACTTCACTGAAATGACTCACGAGCTCAAGTGAGAAGTCTCTATAAAAATGTATGCCAAGTTCTAGTGCTGTGGTGATGAGCCAAAAAATAAGAGGGGGATTAGGGAGGGGAAGAGACCTCAGTACTAGCAGACTCGAGGAATATTTTCAGTGTTGGTTTTTAACATCTGTCCTTTGTAACTGTGAAAAAGTAGTAAAAAGTTAAGTAAGGCTGCGCCGCCGAGCCGAGCCTCCCAGGCTTGCAAGTTTAATCAAAGAGACATTAAAAAAAAGCTGCGCAAGGCTTCAGACAATTCCCTCCTGCTTTTGGCTACACTGGCAAAAATAAAGCCTTCAATTCAAAACAAGCAGCCCCATGGCAAGTCTCCAGCATAACTAAATCATTTAACTTCAGTAGCGATCTATAAAATCAACAAGCAACTACCATCTGGAAATATCCAAAACAAGTGAGTTAGGGATTACATGCTTTCTATGCAACTTTTCAATCAACCTGTCTCACAGGACTATAATCCAGATTAATTTATATACAACTTCTCTTTATCTCCACTAAATCAAATTGTTGTTTTAAGAATATCATGGGCCTTCCTAAATCAGATTTACGTGTGTTTTCATTCCTACACTTACGCTAAATTAAACTCTGGCTACTCTTCCTGCCATTTGTCTTAGGTAATTTTTTTATCTTGAACATATTCACCCATTTGTGGACAAATTGGATATTAATATAAATAATTTCTTAATTTAAATTAAAGTTTGCTCTCCTGCATAGCAGACAGTACTCTACCCGTCTGTTTTCATCACAGCCATAGCAGTTTTTCCATGTAAGCATTCAAATTAGCTTTTCAATTTCCTTCATTAATTCTTCATTTCATAATCCCAACAGTAAAGCGAAGTTATAAATCATCTCTGAATTGCTGATGAAAGGCTGACTTGAAATTAAGAAATCAGGAGGTTTTCTGTTTAAAGGTTTGAATTACTTCAAAGTGAAATTTTAAATAATTTAGTATCCATTTCACATATTACACTAAGGACAGCATGTTTGAATTAATTTCTAGTGCCATGGACATCCATCCATCCATCCCAGTTCTAGCTCTGCTGGTTGAGAATAATGTTACCATAATTCTTTTGGTGGATTAAAGTGTTTTTAATCTCCTTTGGGCTAAATCAGCTGGGCTAGATCAAACCACCTTTACAGGGTATTTAAACTAGCCTGGCTCACGTGTGAATCAGATTAAGGAGGCAAGCACAGCTCCTTCTGCAGGCAGAGCTCTAAGGCAATAATATTTGCAGCGGGGAAGCAACTCATACTCAGGATGGGAACCAAGGGTGGTTTGAAAGGTGAACATCCGTGGCCAAAGGACCAGGTTTTTAAAGGCCAACACACCAACTTTATTTTCCTTAGCTTGTAATGTAATGTGGATATGCCTACATCCCAAGCTACTTAAACCCACAGCATACTGCATTCCTCAGGTCACGTTAAACATCCTTCACCTGCACTCTGACCACCGGGAACCCCCACGCTACCGCATCCACATGTTTCTAATGAACCCACACACAGTTCCCAGAATCATGACTTGAGACTTGTTTGGAAGCAAAACAGCCAACCAAGCTGCCCTTTGGCAGACCCATTCCATGAAGAGCTAAAGGCCTTCCAGCCCTATGAGAAACTATGAAACCAGCCAAGCCCACAACTAAAGCTGCACTAGGGAAAACATGAAAACAACATGCTGTCTCAAACACAGCAAAACAAAACTAGCATCCAGCACATTCCTTTTGAAAGCCTCTTAAGTGATGCTAAACACAGAACATGTTTGCAAGCAGCTGAAACACAAAGCGGGCAGGCTGCCTTACAGGAGGGGTATGGTGGGATCAGCAGGCAGGGGACCACGTAATTCAGACTGAAAACCCCTTATAAGCTCAGGCCTGGAGACTCCAGTTGCACAGAAGTCCTTTCAGAACACGTTCCCCCATCAAGACCTTTGCCTTGGGGGCACCAGGGACAGGAACACAGATTAAACTGGGGGAAACAACGTGGTTTTCCAGTGCCAGGACCAGAACATGCACCCTCAGCAGGTGCTGCCCCGCAAGGCTGCGGTATCTCCATCACTGGAGATACTCAAATACTCAGCTACTTTGACTGGTCCAAGCCCTGAGCAACCTGACCTAGCCAGACCTGTTTTAAGTAGGGAGCTCCACTGAAGGCTTCCAGAGGTCCCTTCCAACCTAAATTATTCTGTGCCTCTAGTCATGCTCTGGCTGCGTGATGGGATGAGACGTGTGTATGAATCACTGCCACTCCTACGGAAACGCAGGCTGGCTACGAGCAGAGGGAGGCAAAGCCTGATTCAGTCCCCCGTGGTCTGGACACTGCTGAGAGCAGGACTGGGAGCAGATGCGGCTCTGCTGAGCATCCGTCGATGAGGAATAGCCAGAGGGAGCAAGACGTGGCAGGACATTAATGCCTGCGGTCTGCCCATCACAACATGTTAACATGCTGGTTGCCTTAGCTCTCCACACCCATCACCAGAGCTGTAACAGTGACCAGAAAAGGGAAAATCTGACCCTTGGTGTACTCCATGTGCAGACCAGGACAGGACAAGGTCTTCAGCTACAGAACAGAAATTCCTGCTTCAGGCACCCACAGTCATGATGAGCTGATATCTGTCAAGGGCCACCTTGCAACACAACTTCCCTACGCTATAGTTTGTGAAGCAGCGCAAAGCACAGTGAAACTATAAACAGCGAGTCCAATACCTGATGACATCAAGAAGGCTCAATATACTCTGGCATGCGATACCCAGAACTGAGACTGCCCTACAGAAGTCTGGCTAGAGACAAAGTTAAACTGCATATTTAAGAAGAAATCATGGGGCATGTTTTCTGCTGGCATAAACTGAGCTACAATGAATATTCAAATAATAATTTGACTGCACCTACTGGAAGAACGTGTCTTTGCCTTAATCGGGCAATTAGAAGAAGGAAATTTTCAATATCTGGTTTCTAGCAATCACATCATCATGTTATTTTTTTATTTTACTCAGCTTAAAATATAAAAAGTACACCAATGACTTAAACTGTTTTTATGCACTAATACAATATCCAAAGTACGTATGTGACTATTTGAAAAATTAACAAAGTTTTTTATATTGAAAGGCTTTATTAAAAGTTAGCAATGTATTTTGACTAAACACTGAGACTTAAAAGACACCCATGCATGTATAGAAAAAAAAGCCCAGAAGCATGAAATCTAAATTTTCAGCCTAAACTATCTCGCATTTCTTTAAGATAGAGCACTCAGCTGCAATTTTGAACCTATGATGAAATGATCATTAAAGTAACTTCCCCTATTCTGGCCATCTGAAGATATAACAGGCAATTACGACTTTGGGTAACCTCTACCGTGAATTCAGTCATATTTTTAAGACCACGATTGTTCGCAATTGTGAACAGACAAGTACTGGCTCATGCACTGTTACAAATTCAGTCCTGTAGTGGCACTGATTGGAAAACATGAAAAAGAAAATAAACTGGTATCTTCTGTACAGAGACAGAGGAGCTCAGGGCAGAGGGAGGTGGTAAATCCACCAAACGGCAGGGGTAGCCTCCTGCACCTGCACCGTGTGAAGCCCTCCCCCAGCCCATGCCTATCCAAGCAAGCCCAAGGGGAACACCAGCCAGCCATCCACTGGCAAGCTAACATTGCTGAATACACGTTTTATAAACAGAGTCCACTGGGAAGCTGGAGGGATACAAAGCAATTTTCTCTGAACCTTAATACTTTCAAGTCTATTTGATACACTTAATGACCACAAACACGGGGACTTTCTTAAGAACAGCCCAACATGTCCTATCATTAAACGATTTAAAAGTACGCATATCAATAATCAATATTCCTTTTCCTGTCTACAGCATTCTCTGTGAAGATTATGGTATGAAAAGACAGTACTTGCCACAATAGGTATAGATCAGCTTAGAGTCTATAAATCGAACTTTGAGGTTGTGTAAAACAGCAGGTTCGTGGAGATAACTGAGCGCTGTGAGGTCATTTTCACCAACAAGGATGTCAGGGTTTCGCAAGGGCGGGAGTTCCTTTGTCTTCGGATCTAGGCAATATTCTAGGTCCTGAAAATCAAATGGAAACGCGTGCTGAAAGAGCTGGTGCTACAGTTTCCTCATTCAGTCTCTCAACCAATCTTCCCAGCACAACATTCCCAAGTTACAAAAACACAACGCAAGATTTAAATTATCTGGTGATTTGAGGGAGCAGTTCTTTCTCCAGAAACGTCATTTAAAATTTCCCAACAGGGTTTTTTATATGCCACAGGCAACCATAAAGAGACATCATCTTTTTAAAATATTACTTAAGCAAACCACTTTCTTTTGCTGCCAAATCTTTTTATTAAATAAAACAAAATATCTTACATCACTAATCTAACTAGTTTTTCATATTATTTTCCTCTTGAGCAGAACAGGCGGAGGAAGCAGACTCCCATCAGTCTATAGCCAGCTTCATACACAGTAACACCACACAAAAACATTGGCAAAACGCCACGAAGAACACATAAACTGAAAAAAAAATGCTACTTACAATTTTTACAACTATAAATTAATCTCTAATGTAGATGTTTTAATTGCATCTGTCTCTAGATCTAAAATTACTGTATTTACTTGCTATTTTCTTGTCCCCACACAATGTTACTGAATTGGCAAACACTCCCATTCTGCTACATCCAATACTCAAGTGTGCAGCATCACCACACAGCCTGGCATACAAGGGGGTGGATGGGGTTAATCTTGTCACATTAAAAAGGTTGTACTCAGCTTGCCATACAAGAAATGTGAGTGAGTCAAAGACTGAAATGCGTTCAAGTAAAAAAAATGGCCAAGTGCAAGGTCCTGCACCTGGGTCGGGGTAACCCCCGGTATCAGTACAGGCTGGGGGAAGAAAGGA